TATTATTATTATCTCGCTCACCGTTTGCATGAGGGGCAATTGCTCAAAAATAATTTAATAGACAAATACAAAGTCACCCCATCGTCCGTATGTGTTTCGACAATGGCGAATTCGGTCAATACTGGGCCACTAGAAGAAGGGAAATTATGTTCATTTGAGAAATTCTAGAGCGATTGTAAATAATCGATTGCTCATGATCTTCGACTTTGCGAGAGGTCGTCGTTATATGTTCTCAGATTTAGGACCCAATTTCTCTGATGAGATTCGAGACGACAACAATAATCACCACAACATCGGTATGTATGTTCTTACACATTGGTATCGTTTGACTTATGCGATTCAGAGCTAGATACTTGATGACAACTGCAAATTGAAGCTGTTTCTGGGAGACAAGACGGTCAATTTAAATGTGTGTTTTTTTTCCCTTTCCTGATGCAGGCAACATTTCGATGATAAGAAAAAGAAGAACCCTTTAATGTTAAAAGCATCTAAGGTTTAGCATGTGGGGTGTTTCTGATACAGAGCTTGCAAGAAACAAGAAAGTGAAGAAGAGGAATCTAGAAACTGAAGTATATTCTTCCTTCCATGTCTCACCTTCGAATATACAATCAGATGCGATGGTGTGTTTATATAATTCAACTTTTACTTTGCTCTTGAATTAACTGAAATCTCATGCTAAAAGTTTCTGCATGCTCATTAGCTGATTCAACTCTTGTTTCTAGAGGTAGGCATTTCGGTTTTGGTTAATCATGAAACTAGACAAACTGTTCTACAGCTTGGTCTCATGAGCCTGAACCCTTTTTTTTTGTCCAAGTGATGTGCAAATTGGTCCTGAGCAAACTGTTTCGTCCCAGGGGTGGCCATTTCGGTTTGATAGTTTCGTCTAGTTCAGTTTGAAATCACATGAAATTCACTGTGATATTATTTGATCTCGTTGATTGTAACATCATCTTATGCATTTTTTTCAAGTTGCTTCAGTTTGGTTAACTTTGGTTTAGGAGAAACTTTGCTCAAGTAAACAAAATTTCATTTTGATTTTGTTTGGCTAATTTGATTTGCTGAATTTTCCTGTTCTTAGCTTTGTATAGAAACATGAAGCTAACTAAAGTGTATCATCAAATTGATATGTCTAGTTGTTTCATTTGATGTCATGAGGAGGAAATGCTTATAATTTATGAGTCAGTCGTGAGTGATTTAATACAACTCTTGTGTTCATCTGGTGTTTGCAGTATCTTCCACAAGATTTCACAAGCTCAGATGCTCGTAAAAGAAAATTTCACAAGAAGTGTAGTCCGAGACAGATAATTTCATCATATTCATCAAGGGAGAAACGATACGTAACATTTACACTTGCACCTGTTGATGTCAGACATTGTAGACTGGTAAGATTGTCATAACAACCCTTGATTCAAAGGGTTTGTTTCTTTATTCTACTCGTATTGGTTTTGACGTCTGTTCAAATCTCTACAGCGTCTTCCAATGCAATTCACGAGGGAGAATGGCATCAACAAGCCTGGGAAGATATATCTGTTGGGTAAAGATGGTTCAAAGTGGCTGGCAAACCTTCTCCTGGAAAGCAGAGGAAGAATGACTCTGGGAGACGGCTGGAAATCTTTTGTTAAAGCAAACGGCTTAAAGACTGGTGAATCCTACACACTCGAGGCGAATTGGGAAGACACAACTCCTGTGCTCCGTTTGTGCACTGCCGAGTATAGCATTGACAGTAGAGAAGGAGGGGGTTCAGAAGCGAGCGAGAAAGAGCCTCTTCCCATCGAACCTAGCAACAGAAACCAAATCGTCAACGGTGAAAACAGCAAAGACGAAAACATCGATGAAAATAGCAAAGAGGAGAGCTGCTCATGGGAGGGAGAGAAGAATCATCTGATATGGAGAGATTCAACTACTTCGTCCAGCCAAAACCGATTTCTGACATTAACAATAACACCCGACAGTCTCAGACATGGTAGACTGGTAAGTTTATCAATCAACTCTTTTTCGTTATATCGCATAGCGAAATGCCACCTTTTAATTCTCTGTTCATATCTGTTCTAGCGTCTTCCATTGCAATTCATGATGGAGAATAGCATGAACAAGCCTGGGGAGATAACTCTGTTGGGTAAAGATGGTGCAAAGTGGTTGGTTAGTCTTCTACTAGAAAGAAGAGGAAGAATGAGTTTGGGAAAGGGATGGAAAGACTTTGCTAAAGCAAACGGCTTAAAGGCAGGTGATTCCATCACGTTGGAGTCAATTTGGGAAGACGCAACTCCTGTCCTCAGTTTGCACCGTATAGAGTGTAGCAGTGATAGAAGGCAGCATGGTGAGTGCTCAAAAGCAAGAGAGAAAGAGACTATTTTCACAGAACCTAGCAGTGGGAACAGGACAAGTAACGCAGAAAGTAACACAGAAGAGAACAGAAAGTATCCTCATAGAAGGAGAGATTCATCTTTAGCAATCCAAAACCGATTCGTGACATCAACACTTTCACCTGAAATAGTTCGCTGTGTTACTCATGATATTCGAATAGGCGAGATCGTTGTTGTCAGAGATGAAGGAGATATGATGTTCCAGGTTTCAGATTTAGGACCCAGCTGCTGTGAGATTCGAGACGTACTGGCTCCAAGCACCTACAATGATCAGGAAAACATCGGTAAGATCAAT